CCACATTTTCGGTATGTTGAAATTCGTAACTGATTTTTCAAACCTAATTGTCGATAATTTGGTATTTCAATTACTCAGAGGAGAAAAACCCTTCTGGCAGACCAATTAAAATTTTTTGGTATTTTGAATGCCCAACTCATGGCGAATGTTATACAAAGTTCGAACCGACAGAAATTATAGGGTGCGTACACTTTGATAAAAAAAATGTACCTCTCCAAAATATCACACCCCTAGTTCTTTTTCTTCTAAATCGTCGTTTTAGAAATGTCCGTCCGATATCAATATGATCCAAATTTTGCCAAAGTTGGGTTACCTTCACTCTTTCTGGTACCTCTAAAAGGGTACAATTTTTGGAAAAAATTTATATTTAAAGTATATATCAGGTTTAAAAATAGACCCTATCGGTCAACTTCTTCTAGTACATACCCCACATAAGAAAAATTGATACGAAATTGATACGAAATTAATTGATACGAAATTATACACCCATAGTTTTACTACTCCATAAGTTATTAAAAATAATTTTTAAGAGGTTTACAAAAGATTCGTATTTTTGGTATCGATATGTTCATACTTCTTTCAATTGGCAATTATCTTTCGAAATGTCTCATTTTCTTTCCAAACGAGCATTATTATAATTTCACGACCCACTCTAATGTTTTCCCTCGACACACCAAAGAAACAAGGACATTGACATGCACACACACACGCTATGAGCAGCCATTTGTTTTGAATATCACTTCCAATTTTTTTTTTTTTATCGCGAACATCACACAAATGAGATTTTGTGGTGTCTGCTGGCCGACAGAGATTCCTCCCCGCTGTAACAGGTGCCAAAAACAAAATTTTGCAACGTAACACAGTTCGGAAACTAGGCGACAAGGATTATAGACTTTATTTGTGGCAAACAAGATGTGTCTGTTGAAGGGACTGAAACAAAAACAGAAGACTGTTAACACAAACGGGATTCCATTCGGGGAGATGGTCAAATAACACGATGACTAGACAACAGAGCGTGAATGGCTGGCCGGACGATCGATGACGAACTCAATACAATATGGTTTTTCATGGCTAGAAATGGTTGCTGGCTGGATGTTTGCTGACTAGACGCACAAGTCCCATGTCAATGATTTTGAAGAATTTTCTTCTATGTTGAGTTGCTGACTTGTGTCGACATGGGCTGGCCAGGTTGTCTTCGTTCATTGGTTCTTCGGTTGCCAGTCGGTCGCTTTACGCTTCATTTCGTCTCAATGACAACAGTCGTCTGTATTTCTCGACAATGGAAACCTCATTGGATTCCATGTCTCAAGGAAATCTCAAGATAAGATTTATTGTTTTACATCAATCAATTGTGATTCCAGAGCATCTCAATGGCAGTATTGCGAATAGAGGGATTAATTAAATATTTTAATGAATTTGTGACTAGACTTGTCCGTAATATTTTATATTATCGTACATGCACATGGTATTGAATGCATATTGAGGGTCTTCATATAGATGTAATATTATTAATTCCTCGTCCTCACGATACAATCTATACTAATAAAAAGAGTAAAGTGCTTGACTGACTGACTTAATGATTCATCAGCGCCCAGACAAAGCGGCTGAATCTGGAATCTTGAAATTTTAGGTTAGGGTCACTGTTGGTCCAAAGGTGGCAGATAAGGCTGTGTTTTTGGAGAATTAGTACTAGAACGGCACCGTACCATTTGTAATTGGCAAACCAGTGGAGCTAGCACTGTGATATTTGGATTAAGGGTCATTGATGGAGTGTAGGATAGATGTACCAAAGAGTTCTTGAACATTAGTATTCGAACTATAAGTATTCGAAAAGTACTAAATTTGTTACAATTTCGTAGCATGTGAATGTATAGAGCTTAAAAACTTGAAATTTGGAACTCGAATTAAGGCTGAGAAAAAAGGGTCGATATAAAGAGGTGGTTTTGAAAGTGCACTAAATTTGGTACAATTTAATTTTTTAATTTAGTCTTGAAATTGTGATATTGTAAGTAATTTTGGAAATTTGTACTTATATGTACAATAAGTACTAAATGGTACAATATTTGGTACAATTTGAATTTTGGTTGAAACGATAGAGCTGGGATCCTGAAATTTGGAAATAAGATTACTGTAGGAGTGTAGGATTGGGGTATGAATTTACTTATGGGTACTAAATTTAGTACAATTTAAATTTTTGGACAACCGATAGAGCTGGAATCCTGGAGTAAAGATAACTGTTAGGGTGTAGAATTGAGCTATGTCAGATTTTTTGAAAATTCGTACTAATGTGTACTGAATTTAGTACAATTTTAATTTTAGGTGAACCGATAGAGCTGGAAAAGTGAAATTTTGATTTGATGTCACTGTTAAGGTGTAGGATTTGGATACGTAGGCATTTTTAGAAATTTTGTACTAAGGTGTACTAAATTGTACCAAATGTGTATTTGAGTGAATCGATAGAGCTAAAAAAATGAAATTTAGAAATAATGTTACTTTTGGAGTGTAGGATTGGGGTATATATATATTAGGCACATTTTGCAGTGTATATGTCCTCATTAGCCATAAGGCTGATCAATACCGGTCCAGGTTTAGCTCTCAAATAACAGTTCTCCAAGGCCCCAGACAAGTTTTTCAACCTAACTGTTTTCGTTTTCTCCTGGCTGCTATTTTCAATGGCATAGCTCCCACAGCCATAAGGCTGATCAATACCGATCCAGGTTTAGCTATCAAATAACCGTTCTCCAAGACACCATACAAGTTTTTCAATCTAACTATTTTCGTTTTCTCCTGGCTGCTATTTTCAATGGCATAGCTCCCGTAGCCATAAGGCTGATCAATACCGGTCCAGGTTTAGCTCTCAACCGTTCTCCTCAGCAAATTTTTCGACCTTACTGTTTTAGTTTTCTCCAGGTTGCTATTTTCAATGGCATAGCTCCCATAGCCATAAAGCTGATCAATACCGGTCCAGGTGTAGCTCTCAAATAACCATTATCCAAGGCCCCAGACAAATTTTTCAACCTAACTGTTTTCGTTTTCTCCTGGTTGCTATTTTCAATGGCATAGCTCCCATATCGATGTGCCGATTAGTGGGGGGTAAAAAAAAAACATATTTTTGGGAACCAGAAAGAGTGGCCCAATACACCACATCATCCGATTCAATGTAATGTTTGTAAAAATGTTGGCATGTGTCATCTATGGATCAATCGAATGTTTACCCTTGTACGAGAAATACCGGAAACAGCTCACTCACTCTGTAATAGACAAACGGACCTAACTTTCGGATGTGCAAAAAAATTGTATGATGTCCAAGAATTTTGTTGAATCGGTACTCATTTATAGTGGGTGTGCGTTGACCCTAATTTTCGCTAATAATAAAGGCTTAATAAAATATTGGGTCCTGCAAAGTTTGGACCAAAACGGATGCTGTGTTTGCCTGACCATTTACCTTTTTCCCACATCTTCTAAATGGATTTAAGTTTGGAAAGTGATTAATCACTTCGAAAATTATAGTGTATATCAGCCAGCTAGACATACGGATATTTCGGAACGAACTAAAAATCGTCTGAAATGATATTGGACCATTTAAGTCATCTGGTATTAAATAACCTGCATATAGGCTTATCTAAATTTTTCACAAAAAGCCGAATTGTAAAGCCGCGAAATATTGGTTCAAGACCCACCTTTAATAATCTCATGCACAAAATTGTGTCTTAGCTGGGTTTTTTTGTCAGTTTTTCTGGTCTCTCTAAAGGCCATAATTATAACCCGAACATTCTGAAATTCTATGGAGTAATTTTTTTTTTTTTTTTTTAATTAAAAATTTTGCATATGGTCAGTCCATGAAGACATGATCCGGACATGTTACTAGAGTGTTACCTTTAATCTGACAATCGTATAATCTGACTATTGATGTGTGTATATTAAAGTTTGTAAAAGGATTGACATATTCGAACATGGCTTGGTATGTACTCGGTTTTGGGATTTTAGAGGTCCCAATCGCCAGTTCCAGTTTAAAAATTGAACTGATGAAGACGTGTGTATATCAAGTTGGATTTACTGGAAGTATATCCGTTCTTTAGCTAACGGTACTAAAAATGGTACCGAAAACTTCTACCGTTCTAAATATTGTACCATTCAGCGAATGAATTGGAGCCTCAATTGTGCAATTCTGTTTGAGGGTTTGCTCAATGAGACGACAAAGGAAAGTCCCAAGAATGAATAATCCCAGAATCAAGACCTACAATTCATGGTATATATTATACCAGTTTGAGTACCTCCTGATGCCGCAAAAGCTTACCAGCTATATTCGATATTCAGAGCCCATCTTCTCCTTTGCAGTGTGACATAACTCCAAGGTAATGCTGCATTAATTTCGAAACACATTCATCTGGGACCTGAATCCAATTTATAATTCATCGGATTAAATTCCCTACTAAAATTTTATAAATCCGTATTTATATGACTACGATGTTATCTAATCACATACAGATATTTGTTTGGGATCCAAATAAAATTTCTCTACAAATAATTCTTATAGCTATCGATATACCTACATACATAATTACACTGCCCATTATTTTATGTTAATTTCACTTTTACAACAAAATTCGTTGAAATTAATATTTTTCTGGCTATCGGAATAAAAATCTTCAGTAGAAACTGTCATAATGTTGCTACCTGTAGTTGCATTTGGCCAAAAATGCATCGTACACATCGCTACGCTGCTGATGGTTTGCGCTGATGTCGCTGACGGACATAGCGTCGTCACCAAAAAGGATTTATTGCACCGTCCGAACGACAAGGATACGCGAGTTTAGGCAAATTTTGCAAATGAGCAGCGGCAAGCGTCAGCAGGTAGATAATTATTTCGAAAGGATGATGTATATAAACATCTTGGCCACTAATGAGAGGATATCAGTCAACGTTTAGCATTCTTAGAGAAAACATCAGAAACCAAAAACACACATTTATACAAACGCACCCAAAATAACTAAAGGAAAATGTCATCGGTAATGCATTACTATCCCATGCACCAGTCGGCAAAAGTTACCACCGGGGTTTATCCAACACCAGTTGTGGGTTATAATAATGTAAGTTGGGAATACTGCACACTCGCGCTCTCTCTCTCTTCCCACCTCGGCTAATGGATATAATACTAACTACCGTATTTCCCTTCCTCTCTTACAGATAATGTATCCCCAGCAAATGTATCCAACTCCAATGGACCAATCATATACGACTTCAGCAAACAACCTCTCAAATGATGTGGAAATGCAACGTATCTCCTCGGACGAGAGTATACCCCAGTCGGAACCACCACGCACAAAAATAAAGCGTTCCCGTACCGCCTTTACCAGTTCCCAACTTGTACAATTGGAAAGTGAATTTAAACGCAACATGTATCTCTATCGTACCAGGCGTATTGAAATTGCCCAACGTTTGTCATTGTGTGAGAGACAGGTGAAAATTTGGTTCCAAAATCGTCGCATGAAACATAAGAAGGATATTCAGGGACCCCAGGAATCAAAGGCGGCTGTCAAGAGTGCCCAACCCCATAGTGAACAGAATGAACACAAGGGTATTGTACAACGTCTAATGTCCTATTCTCAGGATCCAAATCTACAACCAGCTGAAAAACGTACCTACAGCTCGGCATTCCCTGCAACGAATGTTGCCGTACCCCTTCCAAAGACTAAAGAAATTCCTGCACTACCACCAAAAGTAATGACCACACCTCATGTGGTACAACCTCAACCATCATTTACACCAGATCTAAATGAAATACTCGATCATTTATCGGAAAGTTCACCCAGCAGCAGTAGTCAAAACTCCTCCTCATCATCGCTAAATACCTCCTCATCATATTCATCTCCCTCATCCTCCGCCTCCTCCTCTTCATACAGCTTAGATATGGTCTTGCAATCAATTAAACAAGATTTGGAAATGTCAGCTCAGGCATGGTCACGTAACTCCCAAAATTCGCAACAATATCCCAGTATACCAAATTCTGCCCCCACACCCATACCTTCAATGAATGTTAGCTGGGGTGAACCCATGGCCAAATCGATGAAATTCAATCGCAGTCACCTGAATCCTTCGACGATGTATTATAACTATCAAAATCCACCACCACAATAAGGTCACATAAGGTCTCGTTTAGTTTTAGTTTCGTAATTTTATTTGTATTTGTTTTAAGAAGAAAAAAACGTCATTTCATATTGACGATAATCATGAAAACCTCTCCAACACCATCCCTCCTCTCACCACACATGTGACTTTGCCTTTAAAGGCAGTTTGTAGTTTTAAGAAAATCTTAATTATAACTTTTTATTATATTTTAATTTTAAACATATAATTTTAAATTATATTCCTGTAATGTTCTGCATGTACCTCTCTAATACTTAGTTTTTGTAGTTGTAGATGTTGAATAAAATTTAATAAAACATTTGAAATAAAAAGTTGCTGTATTATTTTAAATATATTGAAAAAGGCTCGTCTCGATAATGCAAAGAATTTTTGAAATAATAAAAAATGTCGTTTAGTTCTTGCTAGCCCAACTTTTTATACCCTTCACCACACTGTATTACAAGGTATTGTGTCTTTGTGCATATGTTTGTAACAGGTATAAGGAATCGAGATATACCCATGGTTCCTTTTGAGAATATGCATAGAATCACTTTCTGAGTCGATTAATGCATGTCCGACTGTCCGTCCGTCCATGTATTTTTGTGAACAAAGTACAGGTCGCATTTATGATCCGATTTGGATGAAATTTGGCACAGCTCACAAGGACGAACCCTATTGAAATTGGAGAAAATCGGTTCAGATTTAGATATAGCTCCCATATATAGTTTCGTCCGATTTTATGTAAATGATACACTAAACTCCCAATATTTGTCGAATTGGGACAAAATTCTGCCCAGAGTACTGAATTGGGTCCAGATTGATATCTGCGAAGTTTTGTTAAAATCGGTTCATATTTAGATATAGCTTCCATATATTTTCGTCCAATTATTTTTGAATGATACACTAAACTCCCAATATTTGTCGAATTGGGACAACATTTTCCACAGATTACTGAATTAGGACCAGACTCATGTCTGCCAAATTTTTTAAAATCGGTTCAGATTTAGATATAGCTCCCATATATAGTTTCGTCCGATTTTTTATGAATGATACACCAAACTCCCAATATTTTTCCGATTGAGCAAATTTTTCCATAGCGAATGCTATTGAGGAAAAAATGATGCGTGATAAGGTTCGTTGGAATCGGTTCAGATTTTGATATAGGTCTTATATATATTTTCGTTCGATTTTTTGTAAATAGTGCACCGAAGGGCTTATGTTTGTTCGATTTACACGAGGGTATTAAATTGAATATAGAGTGATAACAAAAAACAAATGGTGTATAAAACGGTTGCTCAATTAGGTCTACTCGATTTCGATTTCATACACCAAAGAATCCAAGTCAGCCCGTTTAATATGAATCCTCAAACTTCTGCAATTTAGATTACCAAGTTAGATTACATAATGTAGGAATTAGTGAATATTTGGGGTTATAGTTATATGAGTGCTATGCCTAATTAATGACCGACATATGTCAACATTTTGGCGATCTATCTCAATTCCTTCAGAAGATAGCGTGATTACAACAGACGGACGGTTTACACAAAGCTGAAGAAGCTCGATATTTGGGTTTCACACCAATTAACAGGAAAAATAGGATGGATCGAATTTCCATCTGCGAAGCCTTGGCCAAACGGAATGAGATAGACCTATTTCTTAAACGGATGGTAACTAGAGATGAGAAATGGATAGCATACGATAACCCTGTGCGAAAACGATCGTGGACAAAGAGCGGTGTGTCGTGTTCCACCAGGACATATACCACCATCCACCATACATATACAGTGGCTCGCCAGAAACTTCGAAGCTTGGTTGGGAAGTTTTAATGCATCCGCCATACAGTCCGGACTTGGCACCAAGAGATTATCATATTTTTCTTGAATTGCAAAATTTCTTTAATGATAAACCAGTGAGCGGAGCAGTGTAGTCGGATATGATACCCTACACAACTTCCACGAAAATCTATCTTTCTGCGGTGTAGATCTGAGCTCGGGCAATATTTCGCGATATTTGCACTCTCTTGACCGACTAGAGGTCAACAAATATCACTAATATTCAGTACAGCCCTTCTAATTACTTGTCCAGATTCCCTTCACCGTGGGTTATGTTGTGATGTTCGGCTTTCAATTGTAGCCTATAGATCGACTCGAAAAAAACACAAAAAATTAAGTTTTCGGTCCACTTCACCCCAAAATTATTATCTGATCCTATTATCTGTTCTTGATAACGCCAAAACCATCAGCGCTATATTCCGCCCTCTAGTGTGTTAATGGCTTGCTAAATAATATCTGAATACCTAAGCACCTGTAAATATTTAAGTGTAACTCCCACATCCGAGTACATACGACAATATAATTTATATCATTTAAAGGACAACCACTCCTCTTGGATTTACTATCGACTTCTCGGGTCTATGTCCTTCAGGGGTAAATATATACGCTATAGAATACAAATTTTGTAATTTTTCATACAAAACTCAGGGTCCATTTGACCAGCTATATATTGACCGGCATGGTTATTCTTTGGCCCGATCCCCTTCTCCATGTAAAATTTCATGACGTTCGGGCCATAATTGCGGCCTCTGGAGAGACCAGAAAACCCAACAAAAATTAAGTATTTGGTCCATTTCATCTAAATATTAACCGATCTTTACCAAAAACAATATGGGTCTTCATTGGCCAAAACCGGTCCTACATGCAAAATTTCATGAAGTTTGGCCCATAACAGTGGCCTGTATCGTGTTTACAAATAATAATGGACGGACGGACGGACGAACACACATGTCTAGATTAATTCAGCCTGTCGAGATATGACGATCGGTATACTTAAAGGTGGGTCTAGGACCAATATTTCGCGGCGTTACAAACTTTTGCACAAAGCTATAATACCCTGACAACATAGTTGTGTAGGGTATAAAAATTGGTATCTAGGAAGGATTGTGAAAATCGAGAGCTATAGTTTTTTACAAATAGAGAACAGGACTTCTATGAGAGAGGCATTATTAAGTTGCCTTTAAAATGGCAACAAATCATACAACAAAACGATGTAAATTTCGGGCATACCGAAGCATGTTAAATAAAGTCCTATAGATCATATAAATCCGACCTGTAATTTGCCAGACGAACGGGCAAACACACATAAGGTGATTCTGTGTATATCTCGTTTCATTTTACATGGTACGAATATATATTTATGCATATATTCGTACGCAATGTAATATATTGTATAACAACGTATGTGGACGAAATCAGTTTAAGACAGTTTCAAATCTGTCTGACTGGATCCAAATTTCGCAAACATAAATCAATGTGGAAGGAGGAAACACTTAAGGCACTCCGCTAAGAACTGTAATAACTAAACTACTTATACCAAAAGCAAACAAGGAAGCTTCTAAAAGAAAACTCATACTGCGCTAAGACCTTGAGAAGTAGACCCGTGAATATGTTTGACTATTTTAAAATACCGAATAGTGGGGTTCTCGTTATGTGGAACCAATATATTTCATTTGCAGTACCAAACATCTTAGATGTACTAGCAATGTCTGAAAATACTTATATATCTTCACATTTTCTATTGGGTGTCATCGATTAATCTACAACGTAAGACATTGTTGGAATATATAACCACTAAGCTTGGAAAAAAACATATTCGACAAAAATTTACGTCCATATGTTTAACACACGAAACCACGTTCTGAAATTTTTAAATTCCATATATTTAATCAACCGGATTCGGTCATTCCTTCAAACACTGCTTTAGAAAATAGAAAACATGGATTTTTATTAAGCTATGATTTCGAAAGCAACAAACCCAACAAAATTTTCTCAAGTACATTTTCAACAGCCTAAGATTACATGCACGTACATATTTCATTTGTTCGATATTGAAACAGAGCAGCTGGGAAAATCCACCGAAGAAATTCATAGATAAGTGTCCCCAGATTTATTTCTGCAGATAGATATACAGATTAAATTTTACAACATTTTATCTCGCGGATTTTTCTTTATTGGACTGGGATTATTTCGAATAACGCTAATCCATGTTATATGATCATTTGGATATTGGGATATGCTGAGCATGTACTTAGGTAAATACCTGCTTACTGGCCAAGTATTCATAAATCTTTTGGAAAACCCCAGGAAAAACCAGAAAATTTCTCTTTCAGTTGCATTTACCAGCGATGAAATAGAAGGTTGTTTTATGACGCATATCATAAAAATGTAAGTAGGTATGGATGTAAAATATGCATGCCTAAGTAGGGATGTAATTTTATTTGCACTGTAGATGGTGATTGTTGGGCGGTTGATACCTGTCGCTATTCGTTTTCGCTAAATGTGCATACATTTTATATTTCCATCGAATTGGATAGATTTTTAACAAGAATATGGCGAAAGAAAAACGACGAACGTGATATTTTAAATTGTGATCATATTTCAATTGTAGAGGGCGTTGTATTCAATGTTAATACTACGTTTAAATGGACGTATTTTTATGTGGAAACATATTATATCTAAAATATCATGTATCAAAATGATATAAAAAATAAAACTTGAGTTTAAATACCGCATAGAGGAGGATTGTATGACATGTTTTTTTTTTATAATTAGAATAACTACTATACATTTTAAATTGTCATAAATAATACAACGACTTTCCAAATATATTATAAAACTAGACTATCATAGTATATTTTACGGATGGGATACTTCCTAAGGATATTTTCTGTTCAAATTCATAATTATATACGTGAAGTTTTGAATGTTAACAAGTGAAAAAGCGTTAAGTTTGGACTGGCCGAACTTTGGATACCCTCCAGCATAGATATACTGACAGGTACTTGATATAAAAATATAGGGAACATACCAAAAAGTGTACCTATACCGACATTTCTACAAACCGATTATAGTTCTAAACATTGGTCCTAGACCCCATGTCTCTTTGGACCAAATTTGTTTCAAAAAATTTTGATTTCATCCAAACTTTGTCCATCTTATTATTTCTTCTAAAATTAG